AACGTACTTTTTCTCCGAAATAATCAAGCCGAAAAGAATCAACAAGTTGATAAAGAATCAACTTGAATCAAGCCGAAAAATCGACGTGAATCAAGTTGAACACACGACATGAATCAAACCAAAGTCGGCCTGAATCATGTCGACAAAACGACTTGAAATAGACCCATATTCCGGTTCGCATCTGTCCAAATCTGACTTGATTCAGGACGACTTTTTTTTGGGTGTAACGTAAAATTTGGAAGTCGTCGGACATTGAAGAAATGATATATATAAAGTATGGGTATAATTTTCTGAAATATCGCCACAATTTCAGTATATACTATCTCAAGGAAATAAAAATTGTGGTGGATTTTTTTTCAAAGTTGCACAAAAAATCATTATTTCCCACAATCCATTTTTTATTGGTCTACACACAAAAAATCTGTATTTTTTTTATTTCCACCGTTGTTTTTTGTGGATATTTCAACTATGTATAACTTAATTGTTAGCTCAATTGATTGAAAATTGGGGCACTTGGGCATTTCTGTAGGCTTTGAAACGATAATTTCGACCCGTTTAAACCCTTTGCAAGCCTCAGAACATCCCGGATTTTGGAGAGAAAAAATTATGGAACGAGTCTGAGACTTCAGAATGGACATGCAGAGAACTGGACCAGTACAGTAGACTCTCGTTATAGTCGCATTCACGGGGCTGTAGGGGCAGCCGATTCTGAGAATGGGACTGTATTTCTCTTCCCCCACCAGGCGCTCACGGTAAGCCTAAATTGCGGGAATCGGGAGCGATAAGAAAATAAATTTTACTCCAATTATTTTTCTCTTCAATTTGCATTGAACATTTTTATTAAATATAAAAATTATTTTCATTAAACACTTTTATTAAATTAACAAAATGCATTGCGTTGAACACTTTTAGTAAATTAATGAAATGAATAGAAATATTAATAACATCGCATTGTTCAATACACTCCAAAATTTATTCACTTCATTCAAATAAAAAGCAGGATTATGCACCACTGCAAAGACCCTCTCTTCGTGACAGTCAAGAGTGAACTGAATTTCTCTCTCGCAAATTCATTTTTCCTAAATTTTATTTCCCGAATTTCTTAGAAATGCAAAACAAAGCCCATTCCGAGAAAACACAGGGGCATTTAAATCCACACCTCGGAGGTGGTATGGAGTGGGGGAAGCGCTCGAGCTTGAAAAAATCGATATGAGGGGAAATGCGACTATAACGAATGCGACTATAACGAGAGTCTACTGTAGCAGGATGGAACATCAGAAACAGATACACAAATTCGCGCAAATTTTCTTAGATTCTACTGTGATGTCTTAAAAAGGTTTCTCAATTTGTTAAGTGCAATCTTACTCGCGAAAGGCGGAAAAGGGGGTGACGATGGCGTCTGTCCGCACTGTTGTCTGGCAAAATCTGTTTGTTTTTTGTATTTTGCTGTTGTAAAACTGTAAAAGGTGTAAACGCCATATAGTTGGAAATAAAGAATCTAATCTAATCTAAACGTACAATAAGGAATACCACAATAGATATGATTTTAATCATTTTCATTTCATATTTGTGTTCTTTTTTATTTATATAGCTTGAAATAGATTGCCCTAAAGAGGAGTAAGATTTACCACTCGAAACGTTGGCAAATTAAACCGGAATAAATTACTAATTTTTTTTAGTTCTAACGTTGCCGAAAACCGTAATAATGGCCTGGAGTAGAAGGGTTAATTGCAAAATAAAAAAATGATTATTCCAATAACACGTGAAAAAATCACTTTTGTCGAAAATTCTCATAACTCCATGAAAAATATTCATTCCCACAACACAAGTTTACGACTTTACTCGTCTGTCGGAATATCCAACTTCCTCACATATGCTATTCGCGCAGCACACCAGCCGGCATATAAACATGAACACTACAAAACGGAGCGAGTGGTAAAAGTCAGGCAAGGACGGCAAACATCGATTCGAGAGAAACTGAGGGCACGACGAAAACCATGTCAGAGGTTTTTCCCGATGCTCCCAGCTCCCATGCAGTTTCTAAGATTCCCCAAGCCCTAAGGAATTTTGGCCAGTCCTTCATTCCCCAAATGTCAACCTCTTCGCTCTCGACGTCGCTGTTGCATAAATGGAATCAATTCCAAGACTTGGTGAATAATTCCGGGTTTCAATCGGCATGCGTCCAAATACGCGGTAAATCCAGGTGACATAAAATGGTCGAGAGCAGAAGAGGGAGAAATGGGGTAGAATGAACGAGAGATGGGTCGAATGAGAAGGAGACAAGCTAAATTAATTGCATTGCTTGATCGTAAGGGGTTGCATTGCAATTCCATCCCCTCGGCGGTGATCGGTGTCCACGTTACAGTGACATTGGTGTTACACTAGTGTTCCATTGAGCTGTATGCGTGTATGGAAACGTCACGTAGATTCTGATCAGGAAATATGTGTTTGCTGCCGGTTATAGCACTTACGGCGATCAATTTACGGGTATGTAGGTCAGTGGGGAAATGTGTAATGATGAATTTTCATGTCCACTGTCATGACGGAATTATTGTTTATCGGTTATTGCCGATGTATTCTTTTTATGTGGTTTCGTATTGATTTTTAATCTGATTTTTTCCGTCATAGGGGTTGAATTGACATGAGGGTTTTTGAAAATCCGAGGAGCTACTCCTTCCGTAATTGAGTGACATCATGACTTTGGAATGAAGTCGATTTCAGGTGATTTCAGCGGGAATTTCAGTGATTTCGAATGATTTCATGAATTCGAAATCAGTGATTTCAGAAAAAATAATGTCATTGAAATCACGATGAATAAATTTAATAAATAATAGAGGTGGTTGTCCCCACGGGTCGTGTTAAATCATGGACCTCAAAATTGGCAATAATAACGAACGATGTCACTCCGCCAATCTTGAGCTAATATGACGATGAAAACCCGTCCGTTTTACCCGACTCTCCACTAATAATTCACAAATAACAATTAATTTCAGAACTTTATATTAGAAAAGAAAAGTTAGATAAACGATTTCACACATAGATTGTTATAACATTGACTCATTTATTTAGAAATATTTTTCAACTTCATCCAAAATTGTCTCAGGGAGCCTCAATTGTCCACTCTCAGTGATCAGAGGGGGAGCAATTGTTCTTTGATACTGGCTTATATTAATGTAGCCGTGAGAGGCCATTGGCTCCGCCTTTAAACTACTCAAACTTTAATCCAAAATATACCAATGGCACAGAGCACCTATATTTTTGCTATGGCAGTGTCTATTTACGTGCTCCACGGTAAATTTTACCGTTGATATATAGGAAATTTTCCCGTAGATTTAAGCTTTTAAAATTTCAACTGGAATTGACAGTTTCCACGGATTTTAGGCCATGAAATTATGAATGGTCAACGACAAAATTCCTTGAAATTTCTGTGGACATGTTACTTGATAGAAATTTCCAAGACCCTCACTGGAAATTTCTGTGAAAATTTTTTAACAGTGTACTTTTTTTCTACTGTGAACATTTTCTTCGCAGGAGTTAGTGATCTATCGAGAGATTTAAAGCCTTAACAAGTAATTCTCATTGTCTCCATACAGAAAAAGTTCTTTAACAACTCAATGATTCAAGAATTCTTGCAACAGTGAATAATAAAGAAGTTCGCCGCGTCAGTTCTTCAATCTATTTGGAGACTTCCTGCGTCAGTTATACATTCGGACTTAAGCAATGAAATAATCTAAATTATTCACAATAATGGTCTATACCGAAATGTCGGAGGTGAGAGTTGCTTTCAGAAATAGAGCGAAGCGACCGTCGCGGCGTGGGAACATGAGAGATAATTTCTCTGGATTCGTTCACTTTTTTCAGTTGTCATCAATTCCTTATCAGTTTGAGCATTGGAGCAGTTGGATTGGAATGAATTTATCCAAGTATTCAAGTGATTAATTCACAAAAAACGAGCAGGGGTTCGAGCCTATCCGACAGAAGGCATGTGACTGTTACTTTTTGCGGCATTAGTCTCTTTCTTTTTTTTTATTTCTACCAATTCCATTTGTAGTAAGCTTCCGAATGGATTCGTAGCAATTCTCTATCCTTGTGACAGCATACGACCGTAACTACATGCTACGCGGTGTCTACAGGAAAATATTCAACCTTTTAATGGAAAATATTTATACAAAAGCTTAAATATCTCCGAAACTGCTCGGCAGGTTATGCCTATCCAAATTACCAACCTTCAGTATTATAAAGGCTATGATCATATCAAATTTCAGCTTGCTATCCCCATTTTTTCTCAAGTTATCGAGCGTACAAGAATGAAAAATAAAAAAAACGAAAGAACGGGGATATTTCGGAAACTTTCTATGAACGGATATATATGAGGTATTCCATAAGAAAACCACGGCGGGGCACGCACACTACTACAAAATAGTGGAAAGTGGGGAACCGTGATCCACGGCAATGGGTTAATTTGGTTTTTCTTTCTACGTATCATTGAGTTTTATAATGTACTAGGTGGCTACGCCCCCTGTCCGCTCCGCTCGCCAACCCCCATACGACCCACATATGTCCCTTGTAATCCTTATTCTGACCCTCGCAACCCTTAACCTGACCCATATGACCCTTAATCTGACCCCTATGATCCTTAATTTGATCTTCGTAGCCCTTATGACTCTTAATCTAACCCTTGTGACTCTTATTCTGTCCCTCATGACCACGATTTTGACCTTCGTAACCCTTATTTTGACCCTTGTGACCCTTAATTGTGGAGTTTTAATTTCGAGTACCAAATTTTTATCACCAGAAGTCGATTTGGATTTTTATAAAATGGAGAGATTCCGGAGTGTATAAAGTGTAATGGATTTCACTTTTTTATTTTCACATTAATTAAATAATAATGAAATTTTCATGATTGGAATACAGGAAAGAATGAGCGCGGACGAAAGCATGCGCGCGCTCTGCCTAATACTATACAATATAACCATGGATATTCCGTTTTTTTTTTTCAGAAACTTGAGCAAGACGATGACGACGAGTATCTTGACTCCCCCTGGGCCGACAGCAGCAGTCTGAAACGACATTTTCAGGGGTTGAACAATATATCGTGGAGGCCCCACTAGATGATCATCGCTTACAAGTCGCAATCAGGAAATGTACGGTCATCAACACCGTCTTGTTTGCGACTACTACCACTTTTTACATCAATACTACACAGGCCCCTGACTCTCTTTACTACTAACGACCGTCAGGGTGAATCAGAAATTCTCGAAAATACGTAAGGCTCGAGAGTAACAAATGCTCAATAGATTAAACATCTATTTTATGTCCAAATTGAAACATTAAAACAAAATATTCTTTCTTTATAACAAAACTCCTACTGGATAAATTTTCCAGTTGCTTTATTTTTTACCCTCTGGAAAAAGAATGATTTTATTCATTTTAATTGCGTGAAAATTCATGAATAAAGATCGGAATTCAATTATAAAATTATTTCAATACAGAAAGATAGAATATATAAAAAATGATAGAAATTCATGGATAAAAAATTCTGGTTCACTTCAGTGGAATAAATCTAACAATAATAAATGATGAAAAACAACAACAAATATTGGAGGATGGACTCGCCCTCTGGGAGCCACAAAGTAGGATAAATGTTGATAAAAATTTCTAGTTATAAATGAGACAAACTAAATGAATGAAGGTGAGAAATTTAATAATGCAAACATGATAATGGAGAAAATAATAGAAATTATTCGCTTATTGTGTTATCATGACGCATCTACACGATTGCATTTTAGTAGTCGCCGTAATACACAATTTTCACCCGTCCCACGTTGATATAAAAAAAGCAACAATTGAGGTTAAAAAAACCAAATAAGACTTAACAAAACTTCTAAATTGACGTGAACGCAGAAAGTCTTATTGTTTGTGTTACAATTTTTATATATGCAATGCAATAGCCATGAAATTTTAAATCGAGCCAACGTAGTTGTTACTCATTTTGCAAGGAAGAACTTTAGAGGAAAAGGTCACGAAAGCCTTTTCTATGGTTGATGAATTGCGCAAACAATATCTCTCGAATTTTTTCGTAAATATTTATCATGTTCAGTTGAATCCATTCATCAGAAATTCAGTTTCTCTATTCACAATTCTGAGAATGCTAAAAGCATTCGAAAAAAAAAATCATTAGTTGGATTTGACAACTTCAAACTCACATGTTTTCGTGAAATTTTGTTAGAATAATTTATCCACCTATTCCAGGGATATATGCGAAATAATCGATATGGAAATTCGTATTTATCTGCTGTTATCACTTCGTCACAGATCTCGAGTGCTGCTCTGCCAGATAATCTCGCCAATGCTACTTTACAGTAGACTCCCGTTATAGTCGCACTCGTTACCGTCGTATTTTCCCTCATTCTCATTTTTCGTCGCTCGGCCGCTTCCCCCACTCTAGGGTAAATAGGCCAATAGCTGGACAGTTAAGGAAATGTTGAACTTCGTTAAAGGATTTAAAATCGATGAAGTAGCGACATGAATGCAAAAATGAGTTCTAGACCTGAAAAAATATGTGAATTAGGAAAAAGCAATAATTCGAAGTGGAAAAAATTATGAGAAGAATAATTAAACGAGGGAAAAGTGGAATATCGGTGGATGGCCAATACATGAATGGTCTGGAGGAATATAAAATTTTCATCCAGTTCATACAAACATGTGAATTTTGTTTTATTGAATGTAAAGAAGTACAAGGCCAAAGAGATTCTTCATCTTCGTGATGTGATTCTTCTCCTGAAAATAGTGTGCCATTCCCCACATCTGCCTCTTTCGAAAGAGAACTTTTTTTTTTCTCCACGACACTTTGTCACTGAGGCTTAGCAAATTACTCCCAAATATTTTTGCTTCCGAATGGAAGCATTGCAATCCTTCGATTTTCACATTCTCTAATTTTGATTGGAAATGATGTAAAATAGTCTAAAACGTAAAAATTCGAAGTTTGGCAACTATGTTTATATATGACCACCTTCCCGGTGGTCGATTTTTAGAAAATTGAGTAATTAAGTGGCTAAAGTAAGTCCAAAAAATCTAAAATTTTGTCAGATTATAGGTCTTAATGAGGACTAACTCTCTGCAAAATTTCAGCTTGATCGATCTAATAGTTTTTAAGAAAAAGCGATTCATTTTTTAATCGTCTTCCGCAAATATCTTCAAAACTAATAGACCGATTTCGATTTTTTTGTTTTCCAAATATTCGCTTCAATGCCTTCTACCTAAATCAATCAAAACATATACACCCGTTCATACCAAGTTTTCGAGATATTCGCGTTTTTTAGGTTTTTCATAAAAAAACTTTGTAAACATTCTAGCTTGTGCAAAAATGGAGATATCAACTTGAAATTTGGGCAGAAAATATGTATACCTGTTCATACGAAGTATTCGAAACATTGGAATTTTGATAGCACCCATGGAGGTGGCAGTAACCATCGGAAATTTTTGCTGCTAGTTAGTACTGTGAAGCTATAAACTTTTTCAATATTTCAGACCATTCGGAAACCCGCCATCAATGTATTGATGGCAAAAAATATTTATCATGTGATATTTCGAAAAAAATCACATGATTATACACAAGTGTTATTATTGATAATGATAACAATCCGTACAGTTTTCATTCTATTATTTATCGAATATTCAGTAAAATGTGAAATTGTCTAGGTATTAGACGGAGTCCAACTATTGACCTGTTCACCCTACTACCCACGGACCCCGGAGTAAGCAGTCCGGCGTTATCTTCGGAGAGGCATTATCTCTCAATTGCAAAAAAGCCGAAAAATACCTGGCCGTAACGTGGAGCCACTGAATGGCTTTATGTATACAAAAGAGTTGTTTTTTTATGGCTATTATTAAATTTCTCGTGATTTATATTGTTTGTGCATATCAACACTGTTTCAAAATCATCCTAAAAGCAAAGAGAATACTATTTTTCAATTAAAAAATGGAGTTCGACATCAGAGTAACAAAAAACAAAGAATTTTGTAGTGTGCCCAACTGCAATAGTTCAGCCTATCGTAATCCTACAGTGAGATTCTTCCGATTTCCTTTAAAAAAAACAAGAGTTTCGTAAAATTAAAGAGGAAATTCGGTGAAGAGGAAACAGTTGAGCGTCTAATTATTTGGAAAAAAAATCTTGAGAATCGCAAAGCCAGTGACAATATCAATGAAAGTGTGTTCATTACATTTTACCAAAGATGACTTCTTCACTCAATGAAAGCTCAGCTGACAATGTAATGAAATTATTCAATTTTCTATTGCCAGTTGATTTTTCTGTGATCACTCGTGAAATAAATTGACTTTGTTCGTTTCAATTATAGTTGAAAATCGTAAAGCTGATCACTTAAAACCCATAAGTGTCCCATCTTGTAATTTGCCAAAAAGACGGTAAATCGACACAACTCTCGCATGATCAAACGACCCGTGGAATTCCAACGAAAACCTTACAGTTTTTCATTACTCGAATTGATTTACTCCAATTGTTTACAAGGGAGATTATACGAACGTACTGGTGATTACCTGCTCACTCTAGTTCGAATTTCTGCCGCAAGGCGGGCAAGGCATTGGACACGCCCCCTTCAGAGTTCCCAATACTTTAATTATAAATTTTTGATCATGGAATTCAGTTCCCTCTAAACTGTCATGGCGAGAGGTTCTAGTTTTCTTGGGATAAGGTGAATTAGATAATGAATCAGAATAAAGAAAATAACAGCAAGATTACCAATAACAGTTACCAATAACAGTTGCAAAAAAAGAGAACTAAAGTGAATCTTACAACTAAAACTAGAAAACCAAAACCACTTTGATAAGAAAAAAAATTTGTTTGTTTGTTTGTTTGTTTGTTGGGGTTTAACGTCACATCAACAGCTAGATTATTAGTGACGGGCTCTCGACTCTTTCTTGACGTTAGAGCCCACGACTATTTCCTCTGTAACTTATAGCTTACGATGTTATGACGGTACTTCAGGTGAATGATCAGAATGCAATCACAGAATGCAATCACACATGATGGTGAGGATCAACTGTAGTGAGTTAGGTTCTCGAGACACGTGAAACTATAGGTTGCATGTACATGATTCGAACATGCTCAATTCTATTTTCTCTCGGTATTTTAACGTTTTATTTCAAACATTCTTAATGGTGTCCTTATATTATTTGACGAAATCAAATAATCCAGAAATAATTTGCCGGTGCCAACTGGCGAATCCAGGATCTCTCTTTGTAGGTGGACACCTTACCGACTTGGCCATACACCTGACTCGAAAAAAAGTTTCTTGATAAAAAAAAATTCCGTTGATTACAAAAAAAGTTAATTAAATATGCGTTGAAATATCAACGTAATGATTAAAATTATTTAATAAGTCGTTAAAGTCAATGAAACGAACATTAAATCCTTAATATTTTCACTTTCTGGCAGCCAGGTCTCACAAATGTCGCCCCGCGTGAGCGCGTGGTGGGGGTAGCGAAATATACAGTCCCATTCTTCGAATTCGCTTCCCCTGTTCCCCCATGAGTGCGGCTATAACGGGAGTCTACTGTATTCTCTATCGCCGTCCAATCACCAGACTGTCGCCGACAAGAATACATTAATTTGCATTTTTTTATTCATCCAATGCAATCTTCATTGCAACTGATAAATCAGAGTTGTACTTACCAAAGGATCAAAAAACACTGGGAAAGAATCTCTGGTCTAACATCTGCAGTTCAAATTCATCATCCCTACAATAGGCTTTGAATTCATAACATGACAGTCGCTAAATCCCCAAAAACAAATGGAACAGAGAAGAATTTAAATCCCCAAGCGTACACAATAAAGATAGAAACACCTGAAATCCGTGAAATAGGTTCTACGCAAAAAACCACCTGAAACAAGATGAAGCAAATAAAAAATTGATTGAATTGTTTTTATGAATTAAGAACAAGGTGTCTGTGATCTACAATAATTGAAAAAAATGAATATATAAAAAAATATTGACAAGTAAAAAACATATATTATAATAATTGATAATGTACATTAATTCAGTCTTGAAGTCCACCAGAAAAACGACGTATCGAAATGGAGTCACTCATTTTGAATTAGCATCATGACTTTGATGCTAAAGAGGAGAACAAAGATACCGAGTGGAAAAATCTTGTGACAAAGTATACATAGAAGTTTGAATCAAACGCCTCGTTTAATAGTATAAAGAGAATTTAATGAAAATTATGAAGACAAAAAGTCAGGAGTAAAGTTGTAAAACGTAACAAGTTGAATATATTTCCGTTAATTGTGGAGTTATCTCAGAAACTATTGATTTCACCGGGAGATGCCAAAAGATGAAATTTATAACAAAACAAATTTTGAAGTGTTTTTCAACATTTCCTCTCATAATCACTCAGTCTCGACATTGTTTCACACTTGAGGAAAAATAAGACAAATCAACTTGATACGTTCTATCTGTCGATGACAGAGATAATTGAAATTAATAAAAAGAATAAAAATAAATAAACATCTTTTCACTGCTGTTATTAGGTCTGTGCTACGTTGCAAAGTGAAAAGAGGACGAGTGCTCATTGCGCTGAATAAATTGCTGAAACGAAAACCATAAAAGTTGCACTTTTCCATCACGATAAATGAAACAAATTTTAGGGATTAATTAAATTGATAGAAACGGAAAAAAATTGAACAAATAAACACCAATAAATCATTCCTTCCACCCGCTCCGGCCGTCTAATTAATTGTCCACTTGGTTTAGACTGCGTTTCATGTCAAATTCAAGCAGAAAGAATCAATCAATTATTTCGATTTGTTTTATTTTGATCAAATCGATGAATCGGTCAGATAGACAAAAATTGTAATAATGATGTGGAACATTTTTTTTACAAGACTTCAATAAAACGCACCTAACAGTAAATAAACATAAAAAAATGCCACCGCCACTGAACAAATTGTTTGATGAGTGTTAATAAAAAAAGAAAAAAACTATATGAAATAATTTTTGTACTGCTTTGGCACATATGCGACACGTGTAACGCTGTCTCAACTTTATATTTATGTACAACATTCATGAACTTCATCAATTAATTAATTGTAAATGATTTTTTACCGTTAATTGTCAACGAATGGTTGGACTGTTTATTTTTTTTCTCGTCAAGTGGAAAAACGTGTAAACGGCTTTTTTCTGCGGTTCAATAATAAAATGTTGTCAAGCTTTTTCACAGTATCTATTGATCCTTCACGACTTATCCTGGCTTTTTTCTGATTGACTATAGAATTCAACCGGCGTGCACCGTGCGCACGGCGATTCTTGATTATGATTGGTTGATTATTTTTATTTAAGGATATCCAAGTACTTGTGCTGTTTGAATGTATGAAAAAATTGCCGATGGGTACTAACACGCGTCGTGTACGGTAGACGACAAAATGACCAGTCATTTTCGGCTATTTTTCCGCTTATCTGGCTATTTTTCTTCAGTGAAATGATTTTCTAGTTTCGTAGTCGAATATCAGAGCTTTCATTTGAGTCCCACTAGACCGTATAGATTTTATTATTTAAACTTTGTAGGTCTGACTTCGAATATCGATATTGAACCGTTAGAAAACATTTTTAAAATCTAAAAAACAGAAAGTCTATTTTTGGAGGAAGATTCATGGAGTACTTTAATAAATTGCATTTTTTTTCAAGTATCAGTATTTTCTATAAATACTTAATAAACAACCAGTTTTCCACCACATAATTCATTTTTACGAAATCCTAACAAATTTATTCATATTCTAAATTTTACCAGAAATCGATTGCATGCCTAAAAAAATAAGGTTTCCGAAAGTTTAAACTATTTCAGTTATTTAGTTATAAGCCCCGAATATTTAAAAAAATAATCAATCTGTGCAAAATGTGATTTGAATAACACTGAATATTCAGGATTTTTTTTCAAATTTTTATCTCGCAATTTAATTGACAAATTTGATGACTGAAAATGGTTGAATTTATAGTGTGGTCTGTACCAAACTGTAAAAGATACTTGGATGTCCTCAAGCATTCTAAACTAATAGGTTTACTTTGCTGAGAAATA